CTACTTGTCCTCACTTGGGAGGCCTAGAGACCAAATCTCCAGCATATTCTCCAGACTTCCTCCACTGTTCGCTCTGGGGCGCTGGGCACAGGCTCAGGGCACCTCGTGTCTGGTGTTGTGTCTGCTATGCCAAGCAATTCACCAGAAGACGTCGTGAGAATGGAGAATAGTGGGTTGTGGATGGAGGTATCTTTGGGTGTGTATACTGATGGCACTTTGAGAAACTTACCCCTGAACACAACCGAGTGAAACGGAGTCACTGTGGGAGTTGCAGGTGGGTTAAGAGGCAGATACCAAGACATGTCTCAAATGGGTCAGCCGGGGATTCCTTGCCCTGTCGGTGTGGGTCTCCTCCTAGGGGGACCCAGAGAAACCCTAAGGATCTTGAACTGAATGAGGCCTTTGGGCTCACCCTAGACAAGCCCTGAAACATGATGGGCCACCTTTCTTGAACACTTGTCTCCTGAATCCCCCAAATGTTTGAGTCCTTGAAGGTGGGCTCCCAGGGCACCAATGCCTCCACCTCAAGCTCCAGAACGACCCCGGTTCGGTTTCTGTGGAAAGCGTCCGACGAATCCTAGGATCTGTAGCTCACTAGTATTGCTGAATATTCCTAAGCAACCTGTAATCTCCCAACCTGTAATCAGAAGACAGAGCTGCTAAGTTGACCAGAGTAATGTTCCTGTCCAAAAATAAGACTAGAAAATCCTAACTGAAGCAAAACATGACTGGCAATGTCAACACGAGTAGTTTTTTTCTCCCGTGTGAGGCCTTTGCAGGCGCTCGGTTGTGAGTACAGACATTTCATTTTGTTGACGTGCGGCTCGGGGACTTTTTGAGGATTTGGTATGACCTCTACTGGGCAGTATTATAGGCGCTTTCTACTTACAAGAATATAGGCCGAGACCTCAAGGGAAGTTTATAGAAAACTTAGACATACTCCTGCACATCCAAATATAGCAGATATTCTCCCAAGCTGTTCACGGTTCACTGAGAACCAACAAATATCAAGAACCTGTTGCTCAACCCCATAGGCATCCCCTGATCTGTATACAAGGGAGCCTCTCTGCTTCTGTCTTATTTCAGGAGCCAGCAAATAAGTTTAGTACTTTCGGGAAAGTATATTTTTCTTGCAGCCAACAAAATTCACTGACTCTGAACCGGAAAGGACCTAGGAGGTCCCATGAAAGTGAAGGCCCACCCTCTGCTTGCAGACTTCCAGTGGCAAGATATTTGATGTTTCTCAAGAGAGCGGAGGCTTGTTATAAAGTGGACAGCAAGCTGTCCTTCTATACATCCATCCATGTAGTCATTAGATATTTATTAGTTACTGGATCAGGCAATGAAATCACTTCTTCTCCTTGAGGTTATCTTACCAGTATGATCACTAACTCCCCTGATGACCCCACCTAGAGAACAGAACAAAGGAACACGCTTTGTAAACAATTAATGTTCTCTTATTACAAAAATGATACGTGATCACTGAAAATTAGAAAATATGGCTAAACCAAAACATAGGAGTTAAAAAGCACCCATAATGCCATTATGGCATTTCTTTTGCCGGACAAACTTCTAGTCATCCTTCAACATTTAAGTCAAAGATGGCACCATTAAGGGGCGCCCGGGTGGCTCAATCTGTTAAGCGTCTGACTTTGGCTCAGGTCGTGAGTTTGAGCCCCGCGTTAGGCTCTGTGCTGACAGCTCGGAGTCTGGAGCCTGCTTCAGATTCTGTCTCCCTCTCTCTATTCCCCCTCCCCCACTCATGCTCTGTCTCTCTCTCTCTCTCTCTCTCTCTCAAGAATAAATAAAAAAAACATTAAAATTTTTTAACAAAAAGATGGACCATTAAGGCAGAGCCTTAAGTGGTCATATCCAGGCATCTTTCTTTGTGGGATCACCTTTGCCTCACCCCAAACCCTGATGCAATTGGACCTCTGCTCCCTGAGAAACTACATTCATCACAGACTTTTCAACCACCTTCTCTAGAGGTTTGTGGGTTTAAGGAACACGCCATTCTTCCCCCAACTCCTGACCAAGCACCCTGCACTCAGCCCAGACTGAGTATGAGGACCTCCCCAGGAGGATCATCACCCAGTCCAAACCAGTTCATGTGTCCTTAGGGCCTGTCTTCTTCTCTGCCAGGCAAGCCACAAATGTAAAAGCCAACAGAACTAGTAACCCGGCCTTGTAAATCAAACACACAAATCCCCTTTCCACCCCCCTCCCTATGCCCACAGAGAGGCCCAAAACCATTTCTTTGCAAAATGGCTCACATTAACAATAGTAACTTTTCTGACTTGTGGAGCCTGTACTAAATGCCAGGGACGGCTCCCAGCACTATGCCAATTATTTGCCTTTTTAAATCTGTCTCACTCCCTATTGACTTTATAGGACCAGTTTCACCCTCTCTGGGAGGCGGGATGCTTAACAGATCCCTGCAACTAGTGACTGCTCAATAATGCTATGGGTGATGAGCAAATGTCTACACCCTCCTCCAAAATAAGGCATTTCAATTCTGGCCTCTGGGGATCTGCTTTTGAAGTAAGAGGTCATTTTGAATGCATGGTGGCCTCTGCAGCTGTTGAGTAAAAAGAAGGGAGGGGAACCCCATTGGGACACACCTTCTGCCCCACCCCCTTCCCTTTTCCCAAACTCTGATGGAAGATGCTTCAGTCAACAGAAGGAAGCGGAAGAGAGGTCTTGGTTGGCCTCCCTACAGGAGGGATCTGGAGTGCCCTGCCCTGCCCTGCCCACGGTGCATGGACTCTAGCAGATGCAGGAGCCTCCCCCACGCCCCCTACCTCCCCACACACTAAAGGGCACACTCCAGGACCCGCTCTTCCTTCAGCAGCCATGTCTAGGAGCTGTTTCTGCAGACCTGCCACCGAGGGAAGCCCCACTGGCAAGCAGTGAGAGGACTTGGAGTAGAAACAACAAATAGGCTGGGAGAGGTAGCTGCCAAAACAAACCAAATGCAAAAGGGCTGCTTGCCACCACCTCAGCTGGGCCTGGGCCAGGAGCACAGAGAGATGAGAACACATACGTGCAGAGAGACACATAGTTCCAGCAAGCTCTCTATTCTGCTCCTGGGGGGCTCCAGGGCAAGGGAGCCTTGCAGTCAAGGCTGATAGGGGGACAAGGTGGGTGGCTATGGAGTGGGGTGGGGGTGGGGGACCTGAAAGAAATGTCTCTGGTCTTGTCTCCCTTAAGTCTCCCCAGTGCCCCCTGCTTTCTAGCCACCGAATCCCATAATACACGCTGCCTATTCATGACTCCCCTTTGTGCATGCTGACCCCCCTGCCAGAGATGTCTGTCCTCTCCTCTCTTTTGCCTGGCAAACTCCTATTCATCCTTCAATACCCAAGTCAACAGTGAAACCATTTTAGACTCCAGCAGGAAGCTAGCCATTTCATTCTCTACATTCCCAACTCATGGCTACCCTTACATCTTACATAACTCACCTTCTCACTCATTCACAAATTTGTGTATCTACCTTCCCAGTTAAATGAGGAGCTCCTTGAAGGCAGGGGTTTTTGTACTGATTTTGTATCCCAGGGCCCAACCCAGGCTTTGGCTCACAGTAGGCACTCAGCACGTTTGTTGGAATGAAGCACTGGTCTGGTAAGGAGTCCGCTTGCCCGAGTTGCTGGCAGTCAATCACCTGGCATCAAAGTCCCTCAACAGGAATATCCAGGCCAGAGGGAGGGTTTTTGAGAAATGAGAAGCCTTATTTTCAGAACCCCAAACCAAACCGCCTTCAGGCAAATTAGAGTAAAACCTCTGTTACTTTTAAGTCAGAGGCTTTCCAACTCTTGTGACTTCGATCTATGGTAAAAAACACAATTTATATCATAAGTAGCACATGTGTAACTCTACACCTATCCCTAACTGGAAAGGCACTAACAAAACACCGGTTCAGTGGCTTTTTTTAATAGAAAAAGAACAAAAAAAATAAATGAAAAAACGTTGAAAAAAAAAATTAAAAAAAAAAAGGGGCGCCTGGGTGGCGCAGTCGGTTAAGCGTCCCACTTCAGCCAGGTCACGATCTCACGGTCCGTGAGTTCGAGCCCCGCGTAGGGCTCTGGGCTGATGGCTCAGAGCCTGGAGCCTGTTTCCGATTCTGTGTCTCCCTCTCTCTCTGCCCCTCCCCTGTTCATGCTCTGTCTCTCTCTGTCCCAAAAAAAATAAATTAAAAAAAAGTTGAAAAAAAAAATAGAAAAAGAAAAAAAAAAAAACTTTCTAAATGGCTCCGACCCAGTGAATTGATTTCAAGACCCACAAATGGATCACCACCCACTTTGATAAACGTTGCTTTCAGTGACTCCAGCTTGATAAACATGAGAAATCAGATCCTCTTACAAACACCCAAACAAAAATTACTGATTACCTGTGTGCCCAGTAATTCAGGGAGGAAGCTCTCCTTTCCCACTGGAGCAGCCCGTCGAGAAGGGTCTAAAGGGCTCTGGACCACAACTGCTTGCAACCACCTGGGCCCCGCAGGACTGGGAATCAAATGAAACAGTCCCTATCAAAGAGTCTGACACAGGGGAGGCCCACGGTTTTTGTTTGCTCCCTCCATCCTTAAATTCTCACCTTTCCTGTCTCGGGAACCACCACCAGAAAGCCCGATGCTTCTTGAGTACACAACCATCCTGCTGCACTTTAAGCAGGCAAGATGGAACACCTCATCCCTCGGCCTTCCTCTGAGAGTACACAAAATGTTAAAGCAAACACTGGGATTCTCCGGTTTTTGCATTGCACTACAGTTTGTTTTCTTACACAGTCTGTAATACTATCTACGCTCTCTGTAAAGGCAGAAAACACTTGGGGTCCTCTCCTGTACCTAAATACTTGTAAAGTTTCCTACTCTCCCTTTCCAGGCACACACAGAATTTACACAGGGGAGAGCCAGCCGCAGTGGGGTAGCTGCACACTAACACAACTTGATATTTTTTATTGTCGATGACAAAGCTTACAGACCACAAAGACGGTAAGACCCACGGCTTGGGCCCAACAAGAGACAATACTCTTTCCCTCAGTTCAGAGTCCTCTGGGCTGTAAGGGAAACAGGATTTCTCTTACGTGGCTCTGGTAGGAGGTCCATGGCCACATTCAGTACAAGGAGAGCCACATCTGAACCTAGCTACCTGGGGGTAGGTGGGCAACGCTGTCCTCATTTGGATTACTTGGGTGTAACCCTGAAAACACGGATGTGGATGGCCGAGTTGTTGCGGATGCGGGTCAGCGGCTCTCGGGTATCAGTCTCTGGTTCCAGCTCATCGACGAGCTCCACGGTGGAGGTATTGGCAGCCACCTGCAAGGACCCGAAGCTGCCTGCCTGTAGCTGTAGAGCAATGTTGATGGCACGGTTGATGGCCAGGCCCAAGCCATGAATGTAGATTTCACTGCATGAGTTCTGACCCCGAGCCCCTCCGTCCAGAAGCTTTTGGCAGCGGGCCAGCTGGGCTTTAAAGTCAGTCTTCATGTTGACGTAAATGTCATTGGGTCTCCGGGGCAGGCGGTGGGGGAGCCGCTTCCGAAGGGTATACTCCACCGGGTCCAGCTCAGCCTCGACGGCCCCGCGGGGCTCTCGATTTTCCGCCATGCTGTGCGCCCTGACGCGGGGAGGGAGATCAGAGAGGTGACAAGCGACTTCGCTTTCTTCCCTACCCCGTTTCTAGCCCAAAGGGTGCAGACAGGAGGGGGCGCACTCAACGCCCCTCTTCCCTTCCAGCCTCAGTCCCCTCCCACTCACTTCGGACTTGCGTGTCTCCCTCACCCCCAGTTCCTATTCATCCAGGGCATCTCCCCCACCCTCAGGTCCCTCCACAGCCCCCTTCCCCCGCGCCTACACTCTCCAGTCCACAGTGCTCTCCCCAAGCACGCGGCCCACTCCCGGCCGAACCACTCAAGTTTGCGTCGACCCGCCCGGGCTGAGGGCGCGGCCCGCGACCCACAAGCCCCAGGACGAGAAGGAAAGCCGCGCGTAACACGATCGCGAGATCGCAGGCACCCTGGCGGCTCCCGGCTCCTGAAAGGGCTGCCAAGTGCGCACGCGCGCCCCACCCCCCGAGGCCCGGCCCGCGTGATCCACGAATCGCTTTCCCGGCCTCCGTTCTCCCCGCCCCTTCGGGCGCTCGCGCAACCGCGGGACGTGTTTAAGTAACGCGAGAGATCTGAGAGACGGGCTCTACCACGTGTACGCCACGCAAGCTGAGCGCGGATGCCGGGGGCATGTATTAAGTCAAATCCCGGGAGAGTCAGCTTTCCTAGGCCAGTCCAAGTTCCTGGCCCACGAACGGGATCTTAGAGGGGAGACAGGAGGCTGTTCTAAGGACGTGGAGGATTTGGGGTAGGGGACTGCCAAAGACCAAAAAAAGGGCTGCGAGTTCAAGAGAACCTGAAGGGGACTGAAGGCAAGTCTGGACTCCCGCGTTCATCGCGGTTTCTCTGGTCAGAGGAGTCGCGGCAGAGTTGGCAGAACTGACTCCCCTGCCCAAGGCCCCTGCTGCCCAGAGACTTGAGTAGGGGATTGAGTGACGAGGTCGGGCCCCGGGCAGAAAAAGCCACCTCTGGACTCCCCAGTAGATCATGGGGACCTGTCCCTTTCCCCTATCACTTGCAAGGGCTGACCCCAAAGTCAGCCCTTGGAGACCCAAGCTACGAGACGTAGGCCCAGCCTTCACGGCTCCCCCGGAGCATGCTGACCGACCCACACCTCTCAACCTTTGCCCGCCAGTTCATCGTCCTCTGTCCACCCCCACTCCCGCCCCCAGCAGGGACGTGCACCCCCTGGTGGGCAGGGCGAGGCAGCGCCTGCGGGTTCCTGGCTCCCGATGGCAGTTGGGAGGGGTTTCTTCTGCCCAGATTGGTATCGTTTTTGGAGAGTTCTCTTCAAAAAGGAGTTAGACTTGCATTGGGAACCTAGAGCTGTTCTCTGCTTGAGTTGCCCCAACACTTAAGTACGGATGATAATTCGTGTTCTGCCACTAGGAAACCCAAAATAACCTTGTAAACTTAAGCCTACGCATGTGAGTTGGCATTTTTATGACCCCATTTGACTGCAGGTTGGAAAGGGGTCAGGTTCTTGAGAACTTTTCTCCCAGCATCATTTAAATCCTGTAGTTCTCCCTTTAGTTTCAGATTTTCATTAATCACAAGTTTGGGGGTTTATGTGGCGTGAGGAGAAAAGGCTATTCTGCCTCAAAAGTGACATCTGAGCTGAGTTTTGATGGATAAACTGTTTTTCAAGGAACCAAGGAGTATTCTGGAAACACTGAATGGTATTTTGAAAAGAATGGAAGCGTAATCTAAGCTTCCACTTCAAGGAACTAGAAAATGAGCCAAATAAAGCCAGAGGAAAAAGAAGTGAGGAAATAATAAAAGAATAAAAATCAAACTGAACACAAAAACAATAAAGAAACTCAAAAGAAAAGCTAGTTCTCTGAAAAGATCGATAAAGTTGATAAGCATGTAGCAAGACTGACAAGTCAGAACCAGAGAAGGAAAACTGGTGCCTGGCTGGCTCAGTGAGTAGAACATGCATGCAACTCTTGATCATGGGGTTGTAAGTCTGAGCCCCAGGTTCGGTGTAGAGATTACTTGGAGATAAAATCTTAAAAAAAAAAAAAAATCAAATTATGATTACTAGAAATGAAAGTGGGGATAGCACTAAAGATAGCCTCATATGCAAAAGATACTTAGAGAATAATACAGGCATGCCTTGGAGATATTGTGGGTGCAGTTCCAGACCACTGCAGTAAAGTGAATATCACAGTAAAGTGAGTCAAATAAATTTTTTGGTTTCCCAGTACATACAAAAGTTATATTTACATCATAGTCTGTTAAGTAGTCTATTAAGTTTGCAATGGCATTATATCTTTTTTAAAAAAAGCATGTATCTTAATTTAAAAATACTTTGTTGAAAACATAAAAATATTTTATTGATGGGGCACCTGGGTGGCTCAGTCGTTTAAGTGTCCAACTTTGGCACAGGTCACGATCTCATGGTTGGTGAGTTTGAGTCCCAAGTCGGGCTCTGTGCTCATAGCACAGAGCCTGCTTGGGATTCTCTCCCTCCCTCTCTCTCTGTCCCTCTCCTGCTCTCTCTCTCTCTCTCTCTCTCTCTCTCTCTCAAAAATAAATAAACATTAAAAAATACTTTACTGCTGAAAAATGCTAACCATCATCAGCTTTCAGTGAGTTGTGATCACGATTACAGATCGTAACAAATATAATGAAGTTTGAAATATGAGAATTACCAAAATGACCCACAGACACAGGCTTAAGCAAATGCTGTTGGAAAAGTGGTGCCAAGAGACAGGGTTGCCACAAACCTCCAGTTTGTAAAAAGTGCAGTAAAACAGGGTATCCTTGTACAAACAACTCGCTATACACAAATTCAACAACTTAGATGAAATGGACCAATTTCCTAGAAAACCACAACCTACGGAACTTACAGGAGATGAAATAGATCATCTGAATAGTCCTGTGGCTACTGAAGTAACTACATTCATAGTTTTAAAAAACCTTTAGATGGGGCGCCTGGGTGGCGCAGTCGGTTAAGCGTCCGACTTCAGCCGGGTCACGATCTTGCGGTCCGTGAGTTCGAGCCCCGCGTCAGGCTCTGGGCTGATGGCCCAAGTAGAATTTACTCCAAAGATGCCAGACTGGCTCAAAAAATAGAAAATCAATCACTACCGTTTACCAGGCTAAAGAAGAAAATGTATATGATCATATCAGTCAATGCAGAAAAAAACATTTAACATAATTTAGTATCCATTTATGAGAAAAACTGTCAGCAAAAAAAGAATAGAAGGGAGCCACCTGGCTGGCTCAGTTGGTGGAGTGAGGACTCCTGATTTCAGGGTTGTGAGTTCCAGCCCCACATTGGGTGTAGAGATTACTTTAAAAATAAAAATCATAAAAGAACAGAAGGAACTTCCTCAACTTGTTAACGAGCATCTACAGAAACTCTACAGATGGCTACAATCATATTTAATGACATAAGACAGATGTAAGACAGTTTTCTCTTAAAATCAGGAACAAGGCAAGGATGTCTTCTCTAACCATCCTCACTATTGAAGTCCCACCCAGTGCAATAAGGCAAGAAAAGGATACAGTGTAAAAAAGCAAAGAAAAGATTGGAAAGGAAGAAATAAAATTCTCTATTTGCAGGTAACATACATGACTATTGGAAACTGAAATTTAAAACAGTACCATTACAATCCAGAGAGAGGGGGATCAGGAGTGAGGGAAGTAGAAGGAAGGAGAAATATTTAGGTATAAGTCTGACAAAACATGCAAAGAATATGTATGCTAAAAACTACAAAATCCTGATGAAGAACTCAAAGATCTAAATTAATAGATGTCCATGTATTAGAACACTGAACATAGTAAAGATATCAATTCTCTCCAAACTGAACTCTAGGTTTAAGGCAATTCCTATGAAAATCCCAGCAAGAATTTTGTAGATCTAACCAACTTCACTGTAAAGTTAACACGGAAGGGCAAAGCAAGGTAAAGCAATTTTGAAAGAGTTGGAATCACAATACCTTATTTTAAGACTTACTACAGTATCAAGACAGTGTAGTATCTGCCAAGGGATAGACACACAAATCAATAAGATGGACTAGAGGGTCGCCTGGGTGGCTCAGTTGGTTAAGCGCCCGACTAATGATGTCAGCCCAGGTCATGCTCTCACAGTTTGTGAGCTTGGGCCCGCATCAGGCTCTGTGCTGACAGTGTGGAGCCTGCTTGGGATTCTCTCTTTCCCCCCCCTCTCTCTCTGCCCCTACCCCGCTTGCTCTCTCTCTCTCTCAAAATAAGTGAATAAACCTAAAAGA